AAAAAAAAAAAAAAAAAAAATCAGGCCCATCTTGAAGACACAGCAGCGAGCGCTCCCACAGCAACGGCAGCGACGCAGAGGATCGAAACCACACGAAGCCTGAGAAAGAGAGTATTGAACTGCTTAGCGACTTGGAGCGTGAGCGTGAGAATTTGCAGCCTGCCCTGGTCCTCCATCTTCTTGAAGAAGTGCATGGGCTTCAGCGCGCGCCGCACCACGAACGCCACCGAGAACGGAAACGCGAACGCAAGGAGGCTCTGCGTCGTCACCTCCGCCATCGGCTCCGACTTAGTCAGGTACGTTATCCACGCCCCCAGGCCCAGGTGGACCAGGCCCAGGCCCAAAACCACGCCGCTTAGCTTGTACATGTTCTTCATCATCGACTCCAGCACCTCCCGCGTCTCCTTCGCCACCGACGACAGATCTCGCTCCACCGTCGGCCCTTCGATCTCCTGATGCTTGAAGTTTGGGTTCTGGCTCGGGTATGGGCTTGGGCTTGGGCTTGGGCCTTGGCCTGGGCCTGGGCTTGGGATTTGGTTGGAGTCTTTGGTTGAGAGAAACCTGAGGAGCGTGGGGCGTGGAAAGGGGTTTGGGGGAATTGGGGTTTTAGGGATGTTGGATAAGAAATTGGTTGAAGAAGAAGAAGAGTGTGGGGGCTTTAGGAGGGAAGAGGTTAAGGTTAATCTTAACCTTCGTGAAATCATGGCCGCCATTACCGTACGATAGAGATCCGAGGCTTTGCTGAAATGGGGGAAACTGCAAAATTCTTCTTCGGCTTCCGTTTCTTGCTTTTGTGTTATCAACACAAGATAATGGTAGGAATAGCGGTTCATAGTATTTTTTTTTATTATTAGTTTAATTAGTTTAGTGTTAATATAATTAATAAAATAATATTTGGTTAGCAAAATATATATTCCGGACAAATTAGTCTTTAATTTCGAAATACTATATGGTTTATGTTCAGGGACAAAAGAAAAATATTATTAATAAAATAAAATATATAAAAATTATTAAGATAATAAAAATATTTTAAATTAAAATAATGAAACTATTTATATATTTATATTTATATTTATATATAAAGACGATTTTTTGTTTGGACAATTTTAATCTTTTATGAAAATTGAATAAATTAAAAGATAATAATTAATAAAGGACTTGGAGTAATATGTGTATATTTAAGAGAATATTTACAAAGACATAAAGTGGCTTCATTTTTTTTGCTAATATATATAATTTAATTAAATAATATATTTAAATCTTCATAATATATTAAAAACTAAAAAAAATTATGTCATTATCTTATATATACTAATAATAAAAGAGATTTTCACATTTAGTATTCACTTTTATTTTAATCATTTTATTTTCATTAATTTATTATACATAGTCTCTAATAATTATACAAACTATTGTTATTATTATTATTTTTTTAATAGAGACATGTAATATTTTTTCCCCACTAGTTTATATAATGATAATGTATGTTTTTGGTCACTTTAAATTTTTTCAAATTTGATTTTAGTTCCTTTGAATTTTTTTATTCTATTTTGGTTTCTCAAATTTGAAAAAGTATCATTTTTGTCTTTAAACACTATATAACTATTTTTAATTATTATCTAAATTATTTTGAGGACCAAAATTATTACATTTTCAAATACGATGGACTAAAATACTTCAAAAATATTTCAAGGGACTAAAATCAAATTTTAAATATTTGTAAGGGTTAAAATCATTTTTTTTTCTCGTATAAATAATGTAATGACATAATTTGTTTAGTTTATTTTTAGTTATGAAGGTTTAAATACATTTGTAGTTTTTGTAAAATGAAGGAGTTTTACTTTTGGTTCTTGTATAATCTTTTATTTCTTTTCATATTTCTAAAATTTATAAACATTAATTTTTATTCTTGGGAATGACAAAAAAAATGGTTTTGGTCCTTGTGGAAAAAAGGTATTTGATTTTCATTCCTCTAAAATATAAAGTCGTTATTTTTTAAGAATCTAGTGGAGAGAATGAAGCTTGGTTCCACTCAATTACCTCCATTCATCCTCCAATTTTCATCCATGGACTCAAGCTTCACATCTTCAATCGAAAAATGGTGGAAAGGCCTAGGAGATGATGTGCAGACTTCAAGTGAAGGATAAGTAAGAAATTTGAACTTGACACAAAGAAGAATTCTTTGATAAAAGTTCTTCAAGAAGTTCTTCAATGTGAGAATTAAGCTTTTGAAAAAGGAATTTTAGAATTCTAATTCTCATTCACTTTAAGAGTGACGAATTACGTAGGGTGTATATATAGAATTTGGTAGCTTACGATGCATGTTAAGTTAACCATGATTATATATAACCAATGTTAGGTTAATTTATATTCAACCTAACTAACTTTGGTTACAATTTAAATTTGATTTTCTTTCTTAAAAATGTTATTATCCTAGATCTAAAAGAGTTAATGAGAGCATGCTATATGGCAAGGTCCAAAAGGTATGACTAAATGTTAACATCCTAGATCTAGAAGAGTCAATGAGAGCATGTCATATGACAATGTGCTAAAAGTGTAACTAGTGTAAGGAACATGTGACTTTGATTTTATTTGAACTAATGAAAGACATGTGTGGGCTAGAAGTTGACATCCATTTCATGGGCCAACATGCCTCACTTTCTCATGGTTCAAACAAGCTTAATAAGCACAACTCCAAATACTAGTTACACTCTCTTAAAATGCTAATTATACCCTTAAAAAGAAAAGTACTAGGAAATAAATTTCTATACTATTTGACCCAAAAATGCAAAGTCAAAACTACAAAAAAGATATATTTACATGGAAAAATATATACAAAGACAAAAAAGTAGACTACTAAAAATATCTTTAAGCTCAACAAAAGTAGACTACTAAAAGTAACTTAAAGCTCATTCTTCTTGATTCCTTTTGTACTTGGCCCCTTGGCATGATTTCATCACCCCTTCCTCTTCAAGATGATTTTTTCCTCAAATCACAAGTATCTTCTTCCTTTCTAACACATGCAAAAGAAAGTAAATTGCAAGCATTAAAAGTTTTGCTTTCTTGATGATCAAAGAGGCCTAACCTATTTATCCTCTCTATATGTGGGTTGATCCTATCCTTAATGATTTTTATTTTCTTGGGGTCCTCTTCATCCTTTTTTTTTCTACCTAAACTCAAATTATCTATTCCTATTTTCTTTAAAAGAGGTTTCTTACTAACATCTAAAATGACTTGCCTAGGGTGTTTTTATGTGATTACCTAGGATCTTAAAAATTGAATCTTCTAGAACTAAATTTCCTTGCCTTCCTAAATAATATAGTGATCTAGAGCCACTATGACTAAGAAACTTCTTAAAAACAAAGTGTTATTCCTAAGAGTGGAAGGCTTGGAAAAGAGCATGAGACTCTTTGTTATAAGTGAGGTAATTGAGAGTGGCACCAAAAGGAGTTATTTTCAAATAAGCAATAAGATGCCCGCCTTTAAAAAAAAATACTCCTACATCTAATCCAAATGCAAAATATTCTAGCTTAAAATTTTTATAATTGTTAGAAAGAGCTAGAACATATGCATTGGAGAGTTCAACTTATCAGGGTTGAAAAACTTGTTCAAGCTTTCCACCCAAAAAGGAAAAGAAAAATGTTCACCAATTCATGGAGTGGTGGAAAAATGGATTGTTCAAGATAGAAGTCATCCATGTTTAATAGAAAAATGACTCTCTTTTTGAATAATCTCTTTAGAAGAGGCATTTTCCTCCTTTTCACTCCTTTTTGTTGGAGATGATGGAGATCATTGAGATGACAAGAAGACTCCTAAAGAAGTTTTAGTTTTGATGATATAAATGTATAAATTATGCTTGAGCCTATGCAAAAGGATATTGTATTGATTGTAATAGATATAGGCTTGTGTGTGTGTTTGTTTATAATTGATAATGATAACGAATGCTTAATTCAAGAACCTGTCAAGTTTTTAAAGAAACCAAGAATTTGTTTCTTTAAGTATTTCCATGAGTAAACATAAAGTAATAGATTATTTTGAAAAGGGTAATTTACTACCAAGTGTTTAAACATAGAAATATGACTTGATTCAAACAAGAGTTTTCAAGGTAACTTTGTTAATCAAATTACCATTCAGGGTAATAGATTACCAAACCTGTTACTGGAAAAGGATATTCAAATGTCCTCTGTGTTAATAAATTACCATGTCTATTACTGAACATGTTTTTCAAGAACTCTTTGAGGTAACAGATTACCAAAGTTGGTAATAGATTAAAACAGAGTCTCTTGCTTGGAATCAGGCTGAAAAAACGAAGTTTTCATCGTGTTAATTAATTACCACAAGAGATAATCAATTACTACAAAATGAAAGGAAATTTTAGGACTTTATAAACACGGGATAGTTTAAACCTCTTCAATTTTTGGTGGTAGTTCGTGTAGTTGAAGGTGATTTGAAAACCTTCACCTAGGAAATCCGACTAGTATATGTTTAAGTGCTTTCCTTTGCATGCTTTATAGCTTTTGTAGTATAATTGCCTAGGACTTATTTTATCTAGTTGTAGCGTTTAGGAGGCTTCATTTTGCCTACTAGGGGGCTGTGCACACCACACACTTTATACCTGTGCAAAATTGTTTTGTGAGAAAAGTGTGAAAAGGCTTAGTAATTTTTACTTGAAAAGGCTTGGTTTTTAAGTGATTCTTAGTAGTCCACCTCCCTTGATAGTTCAATTTGTATACTTAGGCCTTTTCATACCAATCTTACACCTTTGAAAACCTTTTGTGAAAACCTCTTTATCACTCATTCTTTCTGAAAACCTTTTTTTACCAACCTTTTTGAAAACCAATTTGTGAAAACCTTTTTGATCAAAGATGAGTGATCATTCTAGTGTACATGGTCATAACTCTTGTAGTACTAGGTCTAGTGTTAGGGAAGAACTTAGGGAATTGAAAGAATACCTAAGAAGAAAAGAAGAGGAAAATATAAAAAAAGAGGAAGAGCTTAGAAAAAGAGAAAAAGAAACTACTAGAAATAATGAGGAAATAAAACAACTACTTGTTAGGCTAGTTGTGGGAAGGGAAGCTAGTGGTTCTAGACCAAGATTTCCCCCTCATAAGTCCTCAAAAGGCAAAGGGGTCCACATGCCTACAAACATACATGAAGAGGAAGGGCATCATACCCAACCTCCAAGTGAGAGCTTTTATAGTAGTCATCACAATGATGATTACTATCAAAGACCCCCAAGACAACATAGACATAGGGAGTCCTCCAATAAGGAACCCAACATCACTCTTCTCTCATTTCATGGCAAGGATAATGTGGAAACATACTTAGATTGGGAAATGAAAGTGGAAGAATTATTCTCTTGCCATGGAATAAGTGAAGAAATGAAGGTTTCTTTGGCAACCCTTAGCTTCCAAGGACATGCCATGTATTGGTAGACCTCATTAGAAAAAGAAAGGAGAATAATTCATGAGCCCCCAATCCAATATTGGAATGAGCTTCGTAGTGCCTTAAGAAAGAGGCATATTCCTCCATACTATGACCAAGAGCTTATGGATAAGCTTCAAAGATTGAAACAAGGGTCCTCTAGTGTGGAAGAATATAGGCAATCTATGGAGTTGCTAATGATGAGGGTTGGGATTATGGAGGAAGAGAGGACCACAATATCTAGATTTCAAAGTGGTCTTAACCTTGAGATAAAAGATAAAGTTGAACTTTTGCCTTATAGAGATTTGAATGAACTTGTTCAAATTTTCTCAAGAGTGGAGCACCAACTTAAGAGAAAATCTTTTCGAAAAGACTCCACTCCCTC